TTGTTTAAACATATTCTATTGTATTAAGTGGATCGCAATTTAGGGTTGTTTTGAAAAATTAATAAAAAGTTGACTTTTGGATTTTTGCCAAACTTTTTGGCTTTTTTAGAAGTGATCTGAGAAGTTGGTAAAAAATTGACTTTTTACTTTTTAATTTAATATTGATTTATGGTGTCAAATCAAATTAAAATGACCAAAATATCCTTACCCAACATAAAAGAAATATTTTTTTTATTTTTTTTCATAGGCCCTAATTTGTAATTTTAAGGCTGTATTTTTGGCACTTCCCAAAGGGATTTTGTTACGTTTTTGGTAACCACATTTTTGGACATTTTGTCCAAAAACGTGACTTTTTACTATGTTTTAAAAAATGATACATCCCACTAAAAATGATGCTCTAAAACACCACTAATGAGTTGACAAGCACTTTAACCAAAAAAAAAAAAACAAGACACAAGCGGTGAGTCCTGTCCACTACCACATTACTAGTGATGCTTTTAAAGCACTACTTTTAATGGTCTCAAGCATTATTAGATATATAAACCAATTGAAAACAAGGGTAGTAGCACCAACCGAGGTCGGTTTGGTGGGACTGTGACCTGGGGTGGGTTAGGGCGTGGTTGGGCGGGGCCTAAAAAATGGAAAGTTGTCAAAACAAATTTTCCCACTTTCCAAACACGTCAGTCGAAACACCCTAGTGGAGGGCGGTGCCAAGACAGCCGCCTTCCTTTTCTTCTCTTTATAATCCTTTTTTCGTACTCAATTTTTTACTCTTACATACAATTAATCATAATCACATTAAATATATATAAAATTTACTTATTTGTATTTAAATATGTTAAACTTGATAAAAAGTAGAATTATATATTGAAATTCTCTTCTTCTTTTTTGTCTGTCTGCTTGTTTTAATTACTTTTATGTTGTGTTTGGTTGGAGGATTTGGGGAGGGATTTGAAAAAGGAAAGAGAAAAAGTGTGTGAAACTATGTAAAATTTAGGCATATTTTATTCTCATTTCACCTATCTTTTTCATTTCACTTTTCAAATCCCTCTTCAAATTCCCTAACCAAACACAGTATTAAAGTATATTGTATCACCCAAAATTTGCTGTGAACTAATTTTGATTTATATCGGACACAGATTCGCTTGTAACTCATGAAAATAAAATTGTTTTAAATTTTTTCTATTTAAATACATTTTCTCTTTTTTCTTTTATTGAAAAAAAAAATTATTTCAACTTTTTGTAACATATCACTTATAATTTGACAGTGAACTTTTTGGATCTTTCTTCTCAAAATTTTGACACCCTACACTCAATCTTTTATTATTGTTTGGTTTGGACTTTTTTTAATTGATTTTTTTGAGCGGAGACTTTTTCAGCTTAGGACTAATTTGAATTGATTTTTTTTTTAATTTTTAAACTTTTATGAGAGAAAAAATAAAATAATTATGATTTAGATGTGACATTTTAACTTGTTAACTTATTTAGTCTATTTTAATTTTTTTTAAAACTTTTTTTAGTCCCTATTTCAATTGTCAAACGAAGTCAGAATTTTTCAATTTTTATTTCATTCTTAATTTGACATTTAAATTAGTGCTCAAACACTATTCAATTTGTAAGTTTCATTTAAAACTTCAAATGCAGAATTGTTATATATTATCATAATAATAATATTTTTATCTTATCAATTTAGAAAGTTAATGAAGAAAAATATTTCTATTGGCTCAACTGATAAGCTGACTTATTTTATTTATTTATTTATATATTTAATGAAGTACACTTTAATTATTTTTTTATTTACTTTTACGACCATTTAAACTAGATAATGTTAGATTTTTTTTTTAATTATATATTTATAAAAAAAAGCACAACAAATCTAAAAATAAACAAATTTATAAACTGCAACCAAACGAATGGCTCATGCACAGAAGAAAAGTTTATCTTAAAAATTTGAAATATAATTTTTAAAGTGCAAGTGGGTTATAGGTGCCAAATATGTGGGTTTGGAGGAATCAAAACCGGTTACTATGTATTTAAAATAGTTCAATCTAAATCCAACCATTTAATAAAAAGATTTAAGTGAATTGAATTGAATTTGATATAGATTGAATAAACGAACTTGATTAACCCTTTAATTTTATTAAATTTTATTTTTTCTAATAGATGATGGTTGTTGGGGAGTAGTGATGGGGTGGCAATAGTTGTGAAGTTATGGTGGTGACAATGACAGTAGTAGTTGTGGTGATAATAATAAAATAGTAATAGTAATAAAGTGTTGGTGGTAATTATGTTGGTGATGGTGATTACTCGTTTTGAACGGATATTAATGTCTGATAAATTTAAATTTAATCATAATAAATTTTATAAAATAAATCGTTTATTTAATATAAATAAGTTTTAAATAAATATAAACAAACAAATTGTGGATTTTCAGACTTTAAAGTGGAGGATAATGATCCATGTAAAAGTGAAATTTGGTGACAAAACATGATCCATGTAAAAGTGAAATTTGGTGACAAAACAAACAAGGAGACAGAGTGAGTGAGTAGTGGACAGTTTTGTTTTTTAGTATATTTTTTGCCAGCTCTAAAATGTAAGTAATAAGTCCTGTTTCAGAATTCAAAAAAGCATATGATTGAATGAATGAATAAGTGAATTCGAAAATGAATGAAATAAAATAACGTGGGTGTCGTGTGGGTGTGGGGGTGGATGTAAATAGATCAATAGATAGATGAAGTCGGTCAAGTAAATAAATAAAGAGCATAATATAATAATGGGTAAATTATAAATATATCTCTTAAAATTTATTTAAAGTACGAATTATTTTTATAATTTAAAAAATTATAAATATTTTTTTGTCACAATTTTTTATTTAATAGAATTAATTGAAAAAATAAAATTCATAACTACATTCTTATATAATGATAAAATATTTTCAATTATTAATTGAAATAAATTCAAAAACTAAATAAGACAAATTATATTTTAATTAAATATGTAGAGATATATTTGTAATTTATCCAATAATAATAGAATTGGGCTGGGGGTGGGCTAAACTACGTCCGTTGGTTGCTTGGTGCCCGTGTTCCCTCGTCATCACAATAAATTGTTAAACAGGTCATGTTTGGTGAGGTTTAAAAGTTTAATTTTTTTTTAATTTACAAAAAAATATTATATATTATTTTGATAAAATAAAAATTGCATCCTTGTTTTTTAAACTTATTAAAAAACTTATTTTAAAAATAAATGAATGGTGCGACGAGATAAAGGTGGTAATTGAAGATGATTATTGTCGGGCTAAAATGGTGGCTTGAAGTGATTGGCGATGGTTTGAGATGGTAGACAATATTTGGAGGAGGTCATTGATAGTGTCTAAAGGTAGGAGTGACGGGTAGTGATAATGAATGGTGGATGATAGTAGAAAGGGGCGGAACAAGTTTTTATTTATAATTTTTATAAATATAAATAAAAAACTATAAATATAAACATGAATGTTATCAAGTTAGATTTTAACTGTTTTGGAAACAGTATTTCATACTTACTGCTAATTGGTGGCTTATCAGACTTTTATGGCTCAGTTTAAGAAAAAAAAAAAACAGAAAAATTAATTTCAGTTTTGTTCTTTTAATTATGTTCATTATTGTATTTAATGCTTATACTAGTAATTAGATTCTAATTTTAATTAAAGACAGTTCACCAAATCAGCAATTGTGAAAAACTAATCTAGTAAGCAAAAATATAATTTTACAAATTGAACAAATTAAATCATACCACTAAACAGTATATTCTTACTCACACACACCTTAGAACCCTGCCCTCATCTTCTTCTTCTCCACACCACTCATTTAAAAATAGTGAACAAAAAGTTGAATGTTTGGCTATATCAGTTGTTTAAATTTTGAAATGACTCTTTTATCAATCAAATAAAGTTTTAATGGAAAGTTCAAGTACAATGATATAGGAAGTACAACAGTACTTGTAAATTAAAGGATTGTTTAGGATGATTTAAATAAGTGTATTTTTTGACTTTTTATGAAATATGGATTGGGTTTGATGTGATGTGGTAGAGAGGTGATGTGACTTAAATATGATTGTGACTTTTTGAGTTTTTAAATTTTTTTAGTTATGCCCAACTTAGCCTAAAAATGAATATTGAGGCTATAAACATTGGCCCCGTTTGGTGTAGCTGTTAAAACAACTTATAGATTGTAGCTTAACAGACTATAGATTATGACTTTAATCAGAAGTTGTTAATCTGTTTGGTGTAACTGTTGGATTATAGATTTAAGTTGCTGAGTAGTGTTTGTTAAATAAGTTGTGAAATAGTTTTTTCCATTAATTTTTATTTTTTGTTTGTCTACATTTCTCATAAATAATAATAATAATAATAATAATCTATAGTCCATTTGAGTCTTTTTCTATTTTTAAAAAAATAAAAAATAAAAAAATTTAAGAGTATAACCATAAATTAACATGTCCACAGTAAAAGCTGATAATCAAAAGCAAGGGGTGAGCAGCTTCTCAGAATCAACTTTTTTGAGTTAAAATAAACTGTAGAATCAGAAGCTGTTTGAAATAAGTTTAACCAAACAGTCCAAAATAACTTTTTCAAAACTAAAAGTCATAAGTTGGCTCTGAAAAGCTGAAACAAACACCCCTATTCATTCTTCTCAATTAAAACAATTTTACAAAAATACAAGAGGTTTCAAATCTTTTATAGAACTCTAGTTTTGAATGAAGAAAAAGGAGATGCTGCTTATAAAGAAAAAAAATGGTGTAATTTTCAACAGAGAAGACATTGAAAGGACGAAAACCAAACACTTTGTCTTGTTTTTTCATAAAATTCAAGCAAATCACTATCCAACCCTTACAAGTAGATCCTAGTAGCGTACACATATTACAAACAAATTACTTAAGTGGTCTTTGGGGCATATGTGATGTTAAAGATTTAATATAAAAATATGATTGATTTATATAATGGATTCATAATTATTGGTGTTTTAAGAGACACAATGAAAACCATTCACAAGCACTGAAATTCTAGCAGTTGAGATGTACCCTTTCATCCAAGAAATACATTTAGAACCAAACCTAAAATTTGATAGCATGGAAAACAAAAATTCCCAATTGATGGAGTTATATGCTTTCTCAAAATCAAGTTTGAACAACAACCCCTTTTTCTTGGCTTTCTTCCACCCATCTACAATTTCATTTGCAATCAAAATCCCATCAAATATATTCCCTCCACCCAAAAAAGCTGATTGAGTTTCACTAATTACTTCTGGCATAACTGGTTTGAGTCTACTTGCAAGAACCTTAGAAAGAATCTTGTCTATTGACTCAATCAAGCTTATTGGCCTATAGTCATTTAGAGTGACTGCATTGACCTTCTTAAGAATTAGTATGATAAAAGAGCTATTCATCCCATTAGCCAAACTATCCAAACTGTGGAACTCCTCCATGAAAAGAATCACCTCTTCTTTAAGCACCTTTCAATTCTTTTGAAAGCCTATTAAGTTAAAACCATCTGGACTTGGGGCTTTGTTCCCATTGCACTATTTTACTGCTACCCATATCTCCTCCTCCGAGAACTTTGCTTCTAACTACTGAAAACAATCACTACAGGTGACACTCTTGAAATCACCAAGTAATACAGGTTTGTTCCTTTAATCTTCTGTAAAGTGTTTTTTAAAATGTGCCCAGACTTCCTGCTTCACTTGCTCTGGATCCTCAACCACCATCTCTTCAACTGATATAGAATTCAGTGCATTCCTATTCTGCCTACTACTTGCCACAACATGAAAAAATTTAGTGTTCCTGTCCCTTTTTAAGTTCCACTCCAACCTTGACTTTTGCAATTATGACCATTCTAACATTCTACTAAGCCTCCACATTTCACTTCTTATCTCTCTTTTTAACTTCAACTCTGTTTCCACCAAGGGTCTATCTTCAGCCAATAGATCCAAAGAATGTAGCTGACTCTCAACTTTTTTAAGTTTTTCTGAAACATTTTCAAACACCTTTTTGCTCCATTGCTTTAGTGCTAACTTCAATGCATGAAGTTTCCTTTGCAATATTAAACCAGCTCTGCCATTTATTTGTGTCTCTTTTCAAACTTTCTCCAGAAAGTAAGCAAAGCTAGGATGCAATAACCAAGTATTTATGAACTTAAAAGGTTTGGGTCCCTAGTCCCTTTTATCCTCCAATAATACTTGAGGACCATGATCAGAAATGTTTCTAGGTAAACCCTAAAGTTTGAGTTAGAATCTTTCAATCCACTTGGACTAAGTAGAAATCTAATCAATTTTACTCCATTTATTTCCATCAAATCCATTACCCTAGGTGAATTTCCTACCCAACATTTGTAACTCAGTCAGCTCACCTATCTATGAAGTCATTGAAGTCTTTCATAACCCTTGCCCTTCTTGAACATCCTATTTTTTCACCCACATTTCTAATTTCATTAAAATCTCCACTTGCACACTAAGGCTTACGGAATATTGCTTTCAAGTTCAATAGAATCTCTGTGGGACCAAATAAATGAGATTGAGGGAAACTCGTAAGCAATGATGGATCTAGAGGGGCTAGAGGGGGTGTCCGCACCCCCAAAAATTTGAAAAATATCATATACTGTATTATATTAGAAATTTTAAAATAATTTAAAATTAGAGGAGTTTGCACCCCCAATTTTTTTTTTAGATAATTTCAAAATTATATAGAGTAGCCCTCCCAATTTTTTAAATTATAGAGTAGCCCCCCCAAAGTCGTAATCTTGAATCCGCCCCTGCTCGTAAATTGGCCGATTGTAGAAAAGGCTGTGCATAAATTGGCCAGTAAACGGCCCATTGGCCTATGCATGAACTAGTCAATGGAAAGGATGGCCGAATACAAGTCGGCCCATGACGGATCCATCAGGGAAGAGCCGTAGCCGAGTAAAACTAAGTCAGAGGGCCGTTAGAGCCATATATCCCATGGGTTGTATGGAGGCCCAAGGACGAGGTAGAGCCCTAGAAGGAAGAAGTGGGCCCCTGGAGGGCCTATGGGAAACATTATAAAAGAAGGAGCCATAATCAAAAATAGAAAAAGAACAATAACTTGTGAGAAAAAAAAAATGTCAGAAGAGACACCATCAAGCTCATAGAAAAGCGAGGATCAAGAAGGTTTGTTTGGACCAGAGTATTTCTAAATTCATTTCACCACAATCTCCCATAATTTACCTCTCCTTAGAGTATCATTGGGAGCATACACATTAATAACAACACAATCAAAGGAGTTGAAAACAGTACCTAAAAGGAGAATGAAACTTCTATTACTGCAACAATCAGAGAGCTGAAACACATTAGGGTCCAAAATGCAAAGCAACCCCCCTGACTTTCCCTCAACATCAACTACCATGAACTCCATTTTGTCTCTAGGCCATAATTTTTTTGCATCCACACTGCAAATGCTTGTTTTTTTTTTTTTTCGTGAAATAAAGCCAAATCAATTTTTCTATCTAACAAGAGCTTTTTTATTTTTCACATCTTCTTAGGCCTTTCAATCCCTCTCATATTCCAGCTTAACCACTTCATATCAACAAACTTATGCTCTTCAATATCACCTTGGAGGAACTGATTATGCTGCCTCATCAACCCCATCTCCAATCCTTTCTTTATCAAACTCCTCCATTTGAACAAGTTTTTGAAGCACTTCTTCATCTTGACCCTTGCAATCAATCTGCAAACTTTTTCCCAAAAGAAGTGTTAATTTCCATAAGAGCGTGGTTTGTGAGATTGGAATTTCCAAAATTTTACTCAAGGATTTTGTTACTTTGTTTAATTATAAATCTTGGAGTCTACCACTGAAATTCCTTTGTCTACCATTAGGTGTTTCTCTAAGTAGAAAAAAGTCTTGGAAACCTGTCATTCATAAGATCAAACTCAGGCTTGTTGGGTGGAAAATGAGGCTTCTCTCCTTTGCTAGCAAACTGACTCTAATCAAATCTGTGCCGTCTAGTTTGCCTGTGTATTATCTATCACTCTTCAGGATGCCAGAAGGAGTTGCTAAAGAAATTGATAGAGTACAAGCATCTTTTTTGTGGGGAGGCACAAAGTTGAAGAGAAAGATTCATCTAGTGCAATGGAATGAGGTGACCAAGAGCATAAATCAAGGAGGGTTAGGAATTAGGAGAATCAGAGAGGTTAATGCTTGTTTATTAATGAAGTGGTGGTGGAGATTTGCCAATAAAGAGGAAGCACCGTGGAAAAAGGTGGTATGCAATAAATATAAAATTGAAGAGGGAGCATGGCTTCCAAATCAGAGTATTGGTGTGACATCCTAGCAGTGGCAGAGCAAAGAAACAAACTTCTACAGTTTTTTTGTTAATAATCTTCAAATTAAAGTGGGTAATGAGAGCAGAGTGAGATTTTGGCATGATAAATGGTGTGGTGTCGTTTGTTTAAAAGAAGTTTTTCCTAGACTTTATTCACTCTCCACTATTAAGGATGGTTCTCTCAGGTTTTTGTTGATAAAAAAGGAAGCTCTGAGATGTGAAATCTCAGTTTAAGAAGACCTTTGCTACAGTGGGAGAGTGAGGAGTTATCTAGGATCACTGAAGTGTTAAGAGCAGCCCCTGCATTATGTTTGGGTGTAAAAGATAAAGCAAGGTGGTTAGCATTCCAAACAGGTCAGTCCTTTGTTGTATCTCTCTATAGGCATTATGAATTGGGTTTTGGTGAATGTGTGGGTTCTAGTAGACTGGTGTGGATTAATTATCTCCCACCCAAAGTTCAATTCTTTAGGTGGCTAGCTTGGAAACATGAAGTGGGTGTTTGAGAAGTTGTTATTTTAGTAGGCTATTTTAGTTTTTGACAATTTTAGTAGGTTAAAATTTTTGTATTTGGGAAGATGATTGAATTTTTTGTAGTTGGACATGATGTTTATAAGAGAAAAATTAAAACAATTATGAATTTGATGTGACACTTTATTTTATTAGCTATTTTAGCCTATTTTATCTTTTTATAGATTTTAGCCTAAACCAAGCTAAAATTTTCTTGCCAAACACCCCAAAGTCAAAACTTCTATTTTTCTTCAAAGGATTAGAGTTTTTGGTGAGGATGCTTCCACTATGTGTGTTTTTTGTCAATCAGAGGTAGAATATGTCGAACATGTACTCATTTCTTGTCCTCTGGTTTGGAAGGATTGGACTAGCTTATTGCAATGGTGGGTAATGTTATGGGTTGTGCTTGGTTCCGTCAAGTGTTTGTTGTATTGGTGGGCTGAAAACTGCCTCATGAAAGCTGAAAGGAGGATATGGAAAGTAATTCCTTTGGTTGCTCTTTGGTCCTCTGAAAGCATCGAAATGACTGCTCGTTTAATAATGTTCAACCAGATATGGAGGAGTTGCATGAGGCAATTATTATCAGATTAGCTATTTGGCTGAAAGCTTCATCTAAGGATTGTCAGTTTACTATTAATGCTTTTCTCTATAATATCTTGCAGATTAGATATTGTTTAGGTGGTAAGGTGTAATCTATGTTTGCCTTTGGGTTGTACTGAGGTGTTTTGAGTTGAAACCTCTCTAACTTGTTGTGGTGGCTCTGGGGATGCGGATGATTAGTCTTACTTTGGGTGCCAAGATGCTTAGTTTTGACAATGATGCAATTGTGCACTTTGCTAGTTTGTATATTCTCATTATTTACATAATTTCTCTGTTTGTTTGCTGCTAAAAAAAAAAAGAGACACAATGAGAAAGTAACATATGGTGGTTGGTGTAGAGTAACACTTGTAATGGTAGTGAAACAGTATATAAACTAACAAAATTTATAATTTTTTTAGTAACTAATGTATTATGCAATAATAAATTTTTGTTTTAAAAAACAAGACGATTTTAATATACTACCAGATCAATAATTTAAATAAATAAAAAAAAATATAAGATTTTGTCCATTTATGAACCTATTAGTGTAGACTAAAGACAACTTGTCCCTCCAAGTAGTTTCACAATACTTTGGTGCTGTTTAGTTTAGCTTATAGGGATGCTTATAATTTTATTTTATTTTTTGTTTTTAAAATCAAAAATGATTTAGACCTCTAAAAGAAGAGCTCAAATAGAGCATTAATTTGTCTTTTTCTTCCCTTTTTTTTGTCTTTTACTTCACTGTTTTTTTTTTTTTTATTGGTTGATAGCTCATTAGAGCTGTCCTTTTGCAGCTCTAATTAGAGCTCCGGAGCATGACCCTTTTAAAATCTGTGAAAGAATATTTAATATAGCTTAAATAGGGTGAAAAAGTTTTGATGTTAAATTTGCAAGGAAAAAAAAAAAAGAAAGTATAAAAAAATAAAATGATTTCCTCTTTCCTTTTTGATCGAATTAAAAAAAGTAAAAAAAAAATGTATATTGTTTTTCAAAAAAAAAATATTTTATTTATTTAGCTATAAGAAAATGAGTATATATAAATAACTATATTTTCTTTTAATCCAC